AGGAGAATTTTCGAGCCACAGGAAATTTTCAGTTTCGTTATCAAATTCCTTGTTGAATTTTTCTCAGGCCATAGCATGAATATTTTTTAGGATTTATTGGCATGCATGAATTTTTTTTCGTTTAATTTTCCCCTGTATGAATATTTTTTTTGTACTTCATACCAGTCTGAGTTCGTCCCAGTCTCATGTAAATACCCCCTAGTTCTGCTAGTTCGTAAATCGACTTTTGATTTGCAATTTTCACTTTTCTCTTTGAAGATCGACTTTAAATATCCACTTTTGATTTTGCGTTTTTACTTCTGGTGCGTGGCCACTGTCGGCCGCAGTAGCTAGGTAGTAAGAGAAGCGAAAAATGCCGTGAGCGTTGCCGTGAAAAAATTGAAATTGCCTTGAGTAAAATTGGGAAATTGCCGTGAGTAAATTGAAATCGCCGTGAGCAAATTGAGATTGCCGTGAACAAATTAAAATTTCCGTGAGCAAATTTTAATTACCGTGAGTAAAATTGAAATTGCCGTGAGCAAATTGAAATTGCTGGGAGTAAAACTGAAATTGCCATGACACTTTGGGCCGCCGTAGATAGGAGACTAACGTGTAATTTTCTTTTTCTTAAAGGAAAATAAATATACTTTGGAAAATAAATATACTTGCTAGAAATTGAAAAGCTGGACCAAACGTAGGTTTCCTCTGAAAACATTGAAAACAGTTTTAAGGCTATCCAGTATATTTTAGACCTCTAAAAATTAGTTCTCGTCCGGATCGTCCCAGTCGTCTCAAAAAATGTTCAGACGATTGGGACGATCATATTGAAACGCTACCCAGACGATCGCAAACGACCCGGACGACTGAGACGACCTCGATCGCTTGGATAGAGTTGAGTTCTATCCAGACGATCCGGACGTCCATGACTGTACATTTTGAAGCGATCATATGGAAACGCTCTCAGACGACTGAGACGATCGGGACGATCGAAGGGGCTATCCCAGAAGTCATCACTTTTATTCCAGTCAGGTGTATTCCAGTAATCGAGAATAAATTCGACCCGGATGGCGCTGAAGCCGAAAAAATAATACACAAATGTTCGCAGTGCGTATCAGCTGGCGTATGGGGCTTATTTAAATTAGAGAAAGTCCGTGACATCAAGTTTTCGAAGAGATACTATGTCTTCGGGGAACTCTTCTAGCTTCTTAATGCCGCAAAATCAAGAGAAAAAGCGGATACCAAGGTACGAGGTTCGCTCTACGAACATAAATCATTCATTTATGTGGCTTGTTTACAAAACACGCGCAAAAATTCTATTGTCTGACCCAGAGACATCGCTGACGACCCCGCGTCTCTTGCCTTTGAGGCGATCGAGACGATCATATGGAAACTACCAGTCGCCCCAGTCGTCCGGATCGTCTCGAAATATTTTGAAACGACTAGGGCGATCCGGACGATCATATAAAAACCAGGCTTAAGGGGCGCCATAAATTTCTATCTGTTCGGTAGGGCAAACTGACTTTTTTCGAAATTTCAAGGGCTTCAGTATTTTTTCCCGAAAAAAATGAAAAAAGGTTTAAAGGAGATTATATTCTCCCCTCATTTTCGAATCAGAAGATTTTAGTTCCTTTGTCCAAGAAATATAGCCTAACCTGGCACGGTTCTATCTAGAATTTATCGTTTGGGGGAGAATTCCCGAGTGGCCGGAGCTTATTAGGCCACGAACTTCCAAGGGGGGTCTGGAGGCATGCTCCCCCGAAAATGTTTTGAAATGAATATGCGCTGAGACGCAATTAATCTGGTGCATTTTGAGACACAATTTTGAGAAATGTTACAGTGTGTGTACTGACCTCGTCGCGTCTGGATGATTTTTCTGATACAGTTACTTATATACCGTAATGATAACAATATTTTGTGGGGAAGGTGGGTATTTTTTTGGAGGGGGAGCATCTACCCCTCAAATACCTTAGTTAGAACCCTGCCTGGGGAAGGAAAGGTGAAAAATTAAACTTCAGAAAAGTACAGATTTGTTACAAAAAGCTCCGAAATTTGTACATTGATGGAACGGTCATTTAGAGATTTTTAGCCGAGCTCAAGCTACAGACTGAAACGTAGGCAATATTTGCTTCTTCGAGAAAAGATATTTCACATAAAACAGTCGTTGGGTACCCCTGAGTTAAGGATTGCTTGCTATAAAACTAACGAATGTGTGGTAATTATAACTGAACTTATTGTAGCCGCACTCTATGGTTGATGAGTAAGCCTGCCGGAAATGAAGAAGCAAAACTAAGAAAGTAATCCCTGAGACGCAGCCAAACTTTGAAAAATTCCTCCCTGTTGCCCCATAAGTGCGTTGAATGTGTCCATTTCGGCCACCTGGCCTTCTCTTAATACCAAAATTAAATCACAGTCTTTGACGGTATTAAGTCGATGAGTTATGGTGATGATTGTAGAGTTCGTAAGTTTCTCCTTCACGGTTGCCCAAATGGTCCTTTCTGTGTTTGGATCCACGTGCGCAGTTGGTTCATCTAAGATAACGATCTTACTCTGTTGTAGTAATGTGCGAGCTAACCAGATCAGCTGCCGTTCACCAACACTTAGGTTTTCGCCTCTCTCTAAAAGCTTGAAGTCAAGTTGCCCCTCGAGGTCTTCAACGAGGCGATTTAACTTGACCTCTTTAAGGACATTCCATAGCTCATTGTCACTATGTTTATTCAAAGGATCAAGATTCGTCCTAAGCGAGCCACTGAAGAGGACAGGCGATTGGCTGAGTACAGAGATGCACCTTCGCGATTCTTGCAGTTGAACGCTGTTTACTGAAACATCGTCAATGATTATTCCCCCTCAGCTTCAGGCATGCGCAAAAGGGCCGCCACGATAGACGACTTTCCATCTCCTGTTCTGCCAACAATTCCCAAATTTTGTCGTCCTTTAATATTAAAGGTTAAATCCTTGAGCACTTGCGGCCCACCTGGGTAATACCTCAAGGAAACATTTGTGAAGCTCACGTGACCGTCACGAGGCCAGTTTATTGGGGGCATGCTTTCTGTTTTGTATCCTGGCTCTGCGTCGAGGTTGGTGTAGACTTTGACTCGCTCAAATGACGTCATAAAATTCTCCACATCCGAAAACTTTCGCACCGCGTATGAAGCTACATTTGTTGTTTCAATCACGTATGCAAGAGAAAGTCCAATCAAAGCTATAAACAAAAACAATAAAAAAACGCACTTAATATGAGTGTCAATGTATTTAACACGAAAGTACTAATTGAGGACACGTCTCCTTCTGGATACGGGACCGCCTTTTTACGTGGTCATCGGAGCCACTCGAAGGTCTAGCCGTTTGCAGGACAAAGGAAGTAACTCATTTCTCAGTTATTTCAAGACAGTGTTATTGGTCCGGCCCTGGGAATCGAACCCTCGACCTTCCGCTCTGCAGTCAAGTGCTGTATCGACTAAGGTATTCCGCCGCGCATAAATAATTTAATTTTTCCGATGTTCATCGAATGCCCACGGAATGCATGTAATCATGAGTAAGATTCATCAAGAAGTCTGCTTTACTGCTACCAGTAATAATACTTTCAATCTGTTCTTTAAGTAAAGAGATTTAAAGCATCAAGCTCGCATATGGTAGAGAGATTACTTAGTGGATTTGTCTAAGAGTCATTGTCTGAGAGAATTTGTGGGGAAACATGACTAATGCCCCATTCACACCAACTGAACATGTTTAAACCAAACGAGGTTTTAAAAAATAAAAAGGGGACATGGAAAACTGGTTTTAACACAGGATTCAAATGAAATTCAACCTGTTTTGTAATTTATTTGCACTAAATTTGCTGGCTTTTATGAAGGAAACAATTTTAAACCGTGTTTAACTCAGTTTAAATGCTGTTTAGTAAACAGCATTTAAACACGTTTAGCTTTGATGTGAATGGGGCTTAAGCTCCGGGGGGGGGGGGTACTCCCTTATATAGGCTATTGAGGTATGTGCGGCGCCAAAGGGTATAGGTTTTTAGCCGTTTTGGTCTGAAATAGGGTATGGTTTGTGCACCCTAGTCTTGAATTGGGTATGTTTTTTAGAAGAAGCTTCTTCTTCGTCATTAGATGATAAGACCATTTCCCTTTAAGCTCGAAAATTTGAAGATTTTTGTATCCTCCTTAATAAAAGCGTATAAACATTGTCTTTAACATTGGTCTGACCTAGGGAACTGATTATAAGGCAGGTCTGAAATAGGGTATCAAATTTGATCAGGTCAGTAAAAAGGTAGGGAAAAACACAGATTTTGGTCTGAAATAGGGTAAAGGTTTCAGGAAGAGTGCCGCATACCCCCACCCCCACCCATTTTTTCTGAAAGTACCCCCCCCCCCCACCGGGAGGGCTTAAGGTAGTTACTTATCAGGAATGAAAAGAGATGGAGCACTAAATGACCTCCGGCGGAGCTAGGCACATACGTTGTACTGAGCTTAAACTACTACGAAAAAATCTTTGATCTGTTGCCGCGGGTTTTCAGCTCTCTACTGTTTACCTTGTTCCTCGGTGACAAGAACTGAAAGTGTAGCCACTGCTGCAATAAGGAATGAACTTAAGATGTCTACTCTCACACAAAGCCATCGATTGCTGGAAAGTGTTATGGAAAATACTTGATTGTGTACATCCTGACGTCTGCAAATGAGAGAAATGGCTACAATGAGTCATTAGAGACCTTACAAGGTCGAGATTTAACGTCATTTTTATTGAAGGCTATAGGTTAAGGCACCCGAGAGCAGAGTTCTAAAACTTCTAACATTTGATAACTTGTTTTAGCCACTAAGAAATCCTCAACAAATGAGGGTACTCAACAAATGTTTATACGGGGAGGCTCCGCCCCGAGGTCCAACCCTTACCCTTTTATGTACCATTTTTTCACAAAAAAGGTATCCCTTTCGTATACCTTCTGTTGACAAATGATACCCCTTTCACATACCTTGTTTAGAACTTTGCATCCCTTTTAACTTCTGTAAATGCACTGTCTTTTAAATAGGAATCAATCACAAAACTGAATAGAACGTTTTCTCAACTTTAGAAAGCCATAAAATTTATCTGTTAGCCCTTTTGGGCCCTTTCACAGGCCCAAATGACAGATTTCCCCACCCTTTTATATACTTCAACAAGTGAAATCTCTACTCTTTCATATACCTGAGGCCTGAAAAAGGTACCCCTTTCGGGTGGAGCCTCCCCGTAAAGGCCATCATAGGGAGTACCCTCCCCCCCCCGGGCTATGACCCGTCTATTGGTGGCTCTAGCTGCTGAATGGCCTGACTTGAGTTGAAACTCTTCATGCTACACTCGGTTAATCGTCTTAAGCAGCTGGCAAGCTTGAAGGTGTTGGGTTTGATTGACCGTTATGGACAGTTTCTTTATGTTCATGTGAGACATTGACAGTTAGTGTCAATTGTGATAATTTACGCTAACCAAATATGCCGGTATGACCAACATGAATCAACTTACCGATAAAATTGATCCATGAAATCCCTTTCCCTTTTTCGAGTGCGAATGGTGTCCAAGTCAGCTATAGTCTCTGAGAAGTGAGAGAAAACAGGGCTGCGACATATTGACTGCCACCTCTTCAATTCTCTTGAAGTCTTTAAGTAATACCACGCTAAACACAAGAAAATACCAATAACAGGGAAACAAACAAAAGAGAGCCAAACATTCGTGAACGCTGGTAACACAGCGGCTGTCAACATTGACAAATTTAACTGCATGGACGCAGCAAATAGGCTCGATTACCAGCCCGCTGTTCGGGAAAATGAGCCAGCACTCATCCCGTCTCTCTTCGGGGAGGATTAAAGACCGGACCCGGGAGACGGCGGAAATCGAGCCTACGCAGCAAACAGTGCAGGTAATAGTTCGTCCAAGCAACCAATGTCTTTGGAAAATCTGTTTAAAATTCGTCCTGCTGGATTTGTGTCGAAAAATAACACCTTTGCTTGAAGAAGGCTGGATACCATTTTGTTGTGGAGGTTTTCAGCGGATCGGAGGCACATAAAGAAGAATAAAAAAACGCGAATGGCAGCGACAATCAATGCAGCGGAGACAAAACTGGCGTAGATATACCAGGTTTCTGATTCTTGCTGGGCTCCGCAACTCATCTTGGTCAAATGCGAAAGCCATAGATCAGGAGACACTATAAAAGCTTTTTGATAAAAGAATAAAAAAAAAGACAATACACGTCAAAATTTGTTAGAGCTTCATGCTTATGTCTTGTTTTCAACAGTTTTTTAAAACTTAATTTTTTAAAGAAACTATAAAATTTGGTTTTTTATTTATTCGAGCAAACACGGGTCCCCCGGGAAAAAACGCCACTCCCTGCAATAAGGGCCCTGTCCCGATCCCCAAACTACACTCTTAACTTCAAGAAAACCTTCTGAGAGCGGGTTTTATAAACTATTTGAAGCGAAAATTAATACTGACTCCAACCGCCATTATATTGTACTGAAGTTGCTATCAATTTGATTGACTTAATTCAAAACAATTATAAAATTACCCGGGACATCTAATCAGTTAACTAACGGCAATTTTATTTGAAACGTAGTTTCCAGTAAAAGAACTCAAACGCCTTAGGGTAACTTATTTTATGAAACGTGTAATGTTTGTTGAGAACTTTGTTAAAAAAAACTCAGCTCACTAACCTTGCGCGCCCACGAAGAAAGAGAGAATGAAAATCACCACTGCAGGGTGTGTTCCTGCCTTGAAATATTCCCAGTACATTGTTGCTGAAATTTTTCCAATAGCTTTCTCTTCCTCTTCGATCTCCAAATGCTCATCAAAGCTACCAGTGGACTTCTCAAAACGTGAATGCGCAATGCCATCTTCCGTACCTAGTGTAGGAGGTGTCGGCTTTTCCTCGTTGACAGATGCATCGATGACGGCAGCAATTTCTTCACTGCCTTGCAACTCATTAAAACTACCTTTTCCAAGCACGGATCCTTCGTGGAGAACCACAACCTGGTCAGCTGCGATCATGTGTGTCTTTGCATATGACACCAAAATGGTAATTTTATTCTGCAGTAATTTGCAAATACATTGATTAAAAATGTGTTCGCAGACTTTCGCGTCCACGGCACTTAGAGGGTCATCCAACAGATACATGTCTGCATCAGCGTACACTGCGCGTGCCAGACTAACGCGTGCACGCTGACCGCCACTGAGTGTAACACCTTGTTCGCCAACGAATGTTAGGTCGCCATTTGGAAATCTCCCGACGTCCTCTCTCAGTGCGCAGGCGTCAATAACTTCGGCGTACTTCTGTTTATCATATGGCTCACCAAATAATATATTTTCTCTGAATGTTCCGGAAAAGAGCCAGGCACTTTGTGGGACGTAAGATACATTTCCAGGGAATAGAACACTACCACGTGTTTTGGCCGCCTCACCAGCAATGGCGGCCAGCAGGGTTGATTTTCCACTGCCAACTTGACCAGTGATTACAGTTAGGCTTCTGTGAGATGAATCAAAACTGACATCTTGAAGAAGATACTTGTCACCTGATTTACAGGTAAGATTCGAAACTGATAAACTTCCATCCCGTAGTTTACTTGCCAGTGGCTGCTCATCACCTGCATCACCGTCATGTAAGGAAACCTTTTGATTTATACAGCGGTCTTTGGGGCATGACTTTCGGATCAATAATTGATTGCTTGCGCCGTCATCGTAGTCTACGGGATTCAGGGCTACGTTATTTAAAAGGAGAAATCTCTCTATTCTTTGAAAGGAGACGAATAACTCGAATGCTAGTGGGGCACCATCAGCCAGCCTGAGAGACACTGAACGAAGAGTTTTCATGAAGGCAAGTATCATAAAGGCTCTTGAAGGCGAACGATATTCTCCTGTTAGAACAAGAGCTAGCATAGACAAAAAGGTCGCTGCTGAGCTTGCGAACAGAAAGCTACCAATGATCGACAAAAGGAAGCTCTTTTTGGTGAGCATCCAGATTTCATTCCTAGAAAGTAAACAAATAACAGAAGTTTTGCAGACCAAGATGACCGATTTCCCTACCCTTTTATGTACTTCAACTAGTTAAAACCCCTACCCCTTCTTATACCTGAAGCCTGAAAAAGGTACCCCTTTCGGGACGGGCCTTCCCGTGTAGGTCATGATAGGGAATACCTCACAGGAGTTAAGCATCATGATTCGGGAAAAAACGGCAAAGATAACTCATGTCGGGAAAAATAATCAGATGTTGATTTTTGCCATCGTGTCCCCCAGGGGTACTGCCTTTTAAGACGTTGGACCTCGGAGCGGAGCCTCCCTGTATGAAATTTTGTTGAGAACCCCCTGGGTTTCGCCTTGAACATAATGTTTAACAGCTTCTAAAGCAAACCGATGCGATTCAGCACTGTAACAGAACATTTACCATTTTCGTGTATTGCATTCCTAAGCCTACTTCCATAATTGTCACCTCTCTGCAATGACAGGTGCAAGTGTTATATTAATTTGATATGTACGTAATATTATGATCAATCATTTAGTCTAGTTCAACGAAGTGTTCGTTTCGTTTAACCCTCATTATGCTGCCACACGCTCACGAGTTCCCGCGCATTTTACTTCATTTTGCGTCCTAAGGGCGAATTTCTCTGTATTCAACGCCACCTTAACTGATTCTCATAATTTTGTCAGGGGCTTTATCGGCTGGAAACTGGTATCTGCGTTGTCCCTCACTAAATCACCTTAATAAGTATGCGGTGAAATCAGTTCCAACCGCTCTCCCCTCATTCCTTTGCTATTTTTAAATTCCTTACTTACCTTCTTACTTCCTGCACCTTTTCCTTGTAGTTTTCTTCCCAAGCATGTGCTTTCAACGCACGTATTCCACAGACCACTTCGCTCATTTGAGAAATACGTCGGTCCGTTACTTTAGCGGTCTTCTTACGAAGTTCAGCACAAAAGTATGAGATGATCATACAAACAGGGATTAACATCAGTATAAATAACACTCCCATTAAAGGCTGCCAGCCGATTAAGTACAGCAGTAAGCAAACGACAGCAATAAGCTCCAAGGGNTTTGATTTATACAGCGGTCTTTGGGGCATGACTTTCGGATCAATAATTGATTGCTTGCGCCGTCATCGTAGTCTACGGGATTCAGGGCTACGTTATTTAAAAGGAGAAATCTCTCTATTCTTTGAAAGGAGACGAATAACTCGAATGCTAGTGGGGCACCATCAGCCAGCCTGAGAGACACTGAACGAAGAGTTTTCATGAAGGCAAGTATCATAAAGGCTCTTGAAGGCGAACGATATTCTCCTGTTAGAACAAGAGCTAGCATAGACAAAAAGGTCGCTGCTGAGCTTGCGAACAGAAAGCTACCAATGATCGACAAAAGGAAGCTCTTTTTGGTGAGCATCCAGATTTCATTCCTAGAAAGTAAACAAATAACAGAAGTTTTGCAGACCAAGATGACCGATTTCCCTACCCTTTTATGTACTTCAACTAGTTAAAACCCCTACCCCTTCTTATACCTGAAGCCTGAAAAAGGTACCCCTTTCGGGACGGGCCTTCCCGTGTAGGTCATGATAGGGAATACCTCACAGGAGTTAAGCATCATGATTCGGGAAAAAACGGCAAAGATAACTCATGTCGGGAAAAATAATCAGATGTTGATTTTTGCCATCGTGTCCCCCAGGGGTACTGCCTTTTAAGACGTTGGACCTCGGAGCGGAGCCTCCCTGTATGAAATTTTGTTGAGAACCCCCTGGGTTTCGCCTTGAACATAATGTTTAACAGCTTCTAAAGCAAACCGATGCGATTCAGCACTGTAACAGAACATTTACCATTTTCGTGTATTGCATTCCTAAGCCTACTTCCATAATTGTCACCTCTCTGCAATGACAGGTGCAAGTGTTATATTAATTTGATATGTACGTAATATTATGATCAATCATTTAGTCTAGTTCAACGAAGTGTTCGTTTCGTTTAACCCTCATTATGCTGCCACACGCTCACGAGTTCCCGCGCATTTTACTTCATTTTGCGTCCTAAGGGCGAATTTCTCTGTATTCAACGCCACCTTAACTGATTCTCATAATTTTGTCAGGGGCTTTATCGGCTGGAAACTGGTATCTGCGTTGTCCCTCACTAAATCACCTTAATAAGTATGCGGTGAAATCAGTTCCAACCGCTCTCCCCTCATTCCTTTGCTATTTTTAAATTCCTTACTTACCTTCTTACTTCCTGCACCTTTTCCTTGTAGTTTTCTTCCCAAGCATGTGCTTTCAACGCACGTATTCCACAGACCACTTCGCTCATTTGAGAAATACGTCGGTCCGTTACTTTAGCGGTCTTCTTACGAAGTTCAGCACAAAAGTATGAGATGATCATACAAACAGGGATTAACATCAGTATAAATAACACTCCCATTAAAGGCTGCCAGCCGATTAAGTACAGCAGTAAGCAAACGACAGCAATAAGCTCCAAGGGGGTTTTAAAAAGTAAACCGGTAAAAGGTAGAGGAGCCTGTTCAATTCTTTGGACATCATTCGATATCAAGTCAAAAATGTTGCCTGTTGTTGTTTCTAGAAGGTCTTGCCGACTGACAAGAGGGATCTGCCAAAAAAATTCAGTTAAAAACAAACTATGAATACTCACAATTCCACTTATACTGTAAGCAGCTGGTCTGATCAGGAATGAAAAATTTTATAACCAGGGGCACCCAACGAGAGTATAGTTCAAAACCACTTAAACACGCATTGTTATTATTTAAAAGGTAGATATAGGCATATTTTTATCACCTAAAAATTTTTCATCTGTTCGGATTTCCTAGCTGAAAGTCTAGTGATCCCAAAATTATAGCGATCAAAAGTTACCTTTTCGAAAATTTCAGCCAGAAAAAAGGCTCCCGAAAATTCTAGGTGACCTTTTTAGGTTAAAAATCCGTTAAAAATGAGCAATAATACCATTTTGTAGCTGTTCAAATATCCTAGGAGAGGCAGATAAGCAAGAGATTTTACAACAAATGTTCCGAAAATTCTAGATCTCAAATCGTCTTCCGAAGAGATATTTTCCGAAAATCGACGTTGGGTGCTCCTGTATAACTCTCTCCTCCGCATAGGCTCGTAGGAGCAAGGCGAGAGAAAGTGAATCTTTCGGGTTTTGCTCCCGACCCACTTAGGGCAGAGAAAATCCAATAATGCCTCCATCGAACCTCTTCGGAGGAGAGAAATGTTATTATAAAAGTCAAAAAAGAAGAAAGGAAAAATTCCCGTATGCTGTGTGGCGCTTAGATGGTAGTGAGGAGCCAGCCCATCACTAGTGATGGGCTCCTGATAGCAGTAGATTAAAAAATAATGGGGATATTAACAACGCCGCGCGGAGATACGAAATTTCCCTTCGAGTGGTATGAAAAATATTTAACGAGTGAGGGCAACGACCTAAATATTTTTCAACACGAGATAAAACCAATCATGTTGTACTTAGTCAAACCTGCGGTAAAACTAAATGGCTGCCGCAGAAAAGTTTTACTTGGACAGACGAAGAAATAGAAGTGCTACTCCACTATCCTTTTAGATCATGTATAAAACGGAAGGTTTAGCCCTCCTTAAGTGGTGTTAGCTGTTAGCTGATGTTACGCAATGGATTCTGAAATTTAACAATTTGGAAGTGCGGGCGAGCACAGTGAACAACCTCTCAAGGGTGTTTCGGCCTGGAGTAAAGGCACTGAATAAGCCTGCGGCCTGCACTGAGCAAAAACAGCAAGCATTGGTATAAAGGATAGATATCATTTAGAAGAAGGAGAAATCTAACACCAGAAAGCCCACTAATAATTCCGAGCTCCAGCCTGATAATCGAACTCATATATAACCGTTGTATTAAAATTGTTATATGTCTGGACTCACATGACAAGACTTTCTTCATAAAATTTACTACGTATCACAGCGGTTGTGACCAGAATGGATACCCTAGAATCAGATTGTCATCTTTACGCAAAATACATGATAGGAGTCTTAAGCCCCGTGCAAACGGACGCAACATTGTTGGTCAACAACTTCCAACATTGTTGGATGTTACAAGTTGCGTCCGTTTGCACACACTGTTGCATGTTGTTGCGTGTTGTTGGGGCCACGTACGCTTATTACGCATGGTTTACAAAGACTTATGGGTTGTATCCTTCTCATGATGCACTGCAGGTCCCAACATTGTTGGGAGCTGATGCATCCGTTTGCACACTACTGCCAACATACACGCAACAATTCCTAACATTGTTGGCGCAACAATGTTGGGGGTTGTTGCGCCCGTTTGCACGCAGCCTTATAACTTAAAGTCATAAATAAGAGAATAAACGTCATGAACCCGCATCATTTGAGGCAAATTTTACTTCCGTATCCACTACACCATCAAGGGCTAACTGCCGACACAGTTAACTAATTTTGACTTACTTACTTAACAAAGCTTTGATACATTATTGAAACCGTTTTTAAAAGAGTGCTTAATCCTGATCAATCTTCTTCGTTCATAAACCCAATATTCAACTCTTTTCCTTGCACAACTTTACCTTACTCCGATTGTCCTCACTTTTCTCAAAAATCTGCCCAATAAATTCGCATAAATTGTTCTCTAGGAGGAGTATATAGCGTTGTGTAACAAACATAAGGTGTCCACCCTGATTTTAATTAAGGTATCCAGTCTAGTCACAACCGTATTATTACAGCGTTAAAGTTCTCACCTTGAGATAGATGATTCCCTTGAGGGCGCTGCTTGTCCTCATGCCTAATAATTCAAGATTATAGGCAGAGTATTGTTTGCCGAAGTAACAGAATCCAATCGATGCTAAGAGCCAACAGCACGCGTATACTAGGGAAAGATTTATCTCATTGGAACTTAACATGCTAAGGAGAAATCCGATTAAAAGCGGTTGTGTTATCCGAAAGAAGGATTCGAAGACCCAAACGCTCAAATGAAATAGCGTTACTTTGGAAACTAATGTTCTTAAAACACATCTCCAAAGTCTGGGTTGTTTTCCCTGGGAGTTGTTCCATTTAAGTAGTTGGTCATTCCATTCTTTCTGAAGTCTCTCTGTTAGGTCACGTGCTTTGTCGTCCTCATGAAGTGGTAGAAAATCTGATTGGTTCAGAGGCCGCTTATTCCCTTTTGAAAATATATTGTTCATCCACCAAAAAGTCAGAAGAGACAAAAGATTTGCAGACTTTGTAGGATGAAAAGACTGATTCGTGTTATCTTCATTGGTTGCTAGGGTCTCGTAACCCTTTCTTGACATTTTTCTGTTGGAAGAAACAAAAGGAATATTAAGTTCTAGACTGGGGGGATACACCCTATGATGGCCAATACAGGTAGGCTCCGCCCGAAAAGGGCACCTTTTCCAGGTTTTGAATGGGTCGGGATTTCATCAGTTAACGCATATGAAAGAATATAAAATCTGTCATTTCGGCCTGTAAAAGAACCAAAAATGAAACAAGGACTAACAGACGCTTTTTATGGATGTGAAAGAGACGAGAACTTCCTGGTTTAACGATTTATTCATATTAAAAAGACCATGCATTTTGACAGAAATTAGAGGGGATGCAGTGTTCTAAAATAGGTATGTGAAAGGGGTAGCATTTTTTACTAGAAGGCATAAAAAGGGGTATCTCTCTGTCAAAAATTGCTATATAAACTTAGTGCTGAAAAGAGTAAGGGGTTGGACCTCGGAACATAGCCTTCTCCGGCCATAAAACCTTATTGAGTACCCGGCTACCCACCGGGGTTCTAGATGCAGTTTCTTCTTCAGGATGCTTTTCAATAAAACTATTTTTCCGAGGGACCAGTCTTTAAGTGATTTGTTACTCTATAGCTGGAAATTCTGAAGATGGATATTCATTAAACCTCGCTGTAACGGCGGTGATCGGTCAACCTTCGCGGGTAACATTGCAATGTTACCCACTGACGTCATAGATTTTTTGCAATGTTGCCCGCTCAGAAATTTTGGCGTGAAACAGTTTCATTGTTAGATGTCATGTGACCTCCAAGTAACCAATGAGACCGCGCGCTGTTGAGAAGAAATTTCCAGCTGTATAACAATCCAGCTTATAATCAGAGTTTAAATTAGGCAATTTGTTAGTTCACCTGACGTTATATCCGCTTAACCTGCGATCAGGGGTTTTGTTTTGTTTTTTGCCCGCACATTGGCTTGTTTGCGCGACCGACCACAACTGCCATGCTACGCAGGCTAGCTTTCTTTTTCCTTCTGCCTTTCTTCTTTTTTTTTTTCGTTTTTGCTTTGTTTTGTTTTGTTTGCTTATTTGTTTTGTCGTTGTTGTTTTATAAATATTTACCTAAATGACTGTTATTTAAGAAAGTGCAATAAACAGCAAGAAATGTATGTGCAATCAAATAGTGACGAGATAGTGAAATAATTTAGGGAATAGTTTCACGCGCGTTTTGTCCATCATATGATACAAATTCCACATCCGTATCCACCACACCATCAAGGGTTAACTGCCGACACCAGTAATTAAATTTAATAAAACATTGATCATTACATTATTGAAAGCTAACCGTTTTTAAAAGAGTGCCTAACCCTAATCACTCTTCTTCGGTGCTAAATCCTGTATTCAACTCTTTTCCTTGCACAACTTTACCTTACTTTGACTTCCCCACTTTTCTGCCCAATAAATTCGCATGAATGGTTCTTAACGTGGAGTATGACGTGGAACAACCGGATTTTAAGATATCCATTCTAGCCACAACCGTATCATTACAGCGTTAAAGTTCTCACCTTAAAGATGATTCCCTTGAGGGCGCTTCTTGTCCTCATGCAAAGTAATTCAAGTCTATAGACAAAGTGCAATAAACAGCAAGAAAATTTGTATGTGTAATCAAATGGTGAAGAGTGAGATAATTTAGGGAATAATTAATCCTAATAATTTCCCTAGCCTTTTCCCTAATTTCAAGAGTATGCCATTTGATTACCTATTAATATAACAGGTGACGAATTACGCTTGCAATCGTGGATTTTTGACATCTTTATCCTGGTTTTATCGCATGATCTGGGAACTCCACGCCCTCAAAAGTTTAGACCTTAAATTTGACTTAAGTTCAGAATTTTTGAATGTCTCTAAAAAATAACTGTAGAATCCTTTTTGATGTGCTCTTTCGTTAGCATGAATTTCAGACGATTATTTCGAGGTCGTTTTAACTCCCTCAGTAACGTCTGAATCGACCGGCCGTTAATGCCGTCCAGTGACATCACTACTCCTTTGGTTTAATAGCCCACGTTCGATCTATTAAAATTCTAACATGACTCCGAAGCTTTAGGGTCAAAACTGGAAACTTTTTACCACTCCATTATCTCGCAATTCCCCGGCGCAATTCCCAGAAGAGATTTGAGCACAAAGAATACCAAACCAAATATAGAAAAATGACCAGAAAGCCTCGAAGTCATGTTAGAATTTTGAAATATCGAACGCGGGCTATTTATGCAAAAAGTAAAACACGATTTCAACTGGCAAACAAAAAAATATCGTCTGGAAATGTCTACATCATACAGAATTGCGTTAAATTTTTAGATTGTAATTCATGTTTAACGTTTAAACTGTCAACTGTATGCGGTACTCTGAAGAAATCTGCTCTATTAATTTCACGAATCAAACTCGATCGCAATCACACTATGAAAGAAGCTATATATACTTGGTCTTTAACGAAGAGAAGAAAGAAAACAAGAAAGAAATTTAAGCAAAGCTAACAGAATCATCACACTTGACGGTGGAAACTCAAATCTCAGAAAACTTCACACAAACAATGTAACTGCCGAAGCCACAAAGCGGCTCTAAATGAAAAACCTACCGTGGCATGCGATCCGCTGATTATCAAACCACCGTGATCCCGCTAAAATTTCTCATAATTATACATAATTATGCGAATGCTTGGACAATCAACCATTCAAAATCACCATCCGGTTTTCGGGTAGTGACGTCACTAGAAGGCATTATTCAGACGTTGCTGAGAGGGGAAAACGACTCGAAGTAATCGTCTGAAATTCAGGCTACTCTTTCGCGTGTTTAGGTTTTCTCAAAAGTCTTTTAATGTCCTGATATCTTCATTCACAATATTTAATGGCTCCGTCACCATCTTGGCACTGAGACGTACGGAAGTTTGCCATGGCAATTTTGTAATATCACTTGTGAAATTATAAATTACCAATCTGAATTTCTCTGCGGTTTCCTACAATTTACTGTGGAAAAACCAAAGTTGCTATAAACTATTTGATTATTTTCTAAACAACGTACCCACGAGTACTAGTTGACGATAGTCTTCCTTTGATTGAGCGTATTGCGAGAAGATCATAAGTCCGTAACGAGTTTCAACATGACTGGCTCGTTAACGTTTTGGCGTTAACTACAGTTGTTCCTTTCCCCCTGTACATTTTGTACATTCCTATTTTGCTGCAATATATTCTACAAAACTAAAACATTCCTTCAGCGTCTTTCATTCTTTCACCAAAACTAAAACAGTAGCCACATGCAGTCACAGACTCCCTTATATTATGATCATTACGTTCTCTGATCTCATGATCAAAGCTTGAGCTGTAAAATCGCAAGGACCGTGTTAATTCATCACGCCGTGCAAAAGTTACTTATTATAAATATCCTGTAGTATAAAATCTTTTAGCATTCACCTGTCGTTCACCGTACGAGTCCGCAAAATTATCCTTCTCTTAAATCTTTGGGACTTTCTGCAGGTACCGCCAACACAGAACAAATCACGATCACTGTATGTTGTCCGCCCGAGCCTCGGGCTACTTATACAATGCCCTCTCTTTAAACAAAGGACCCGAGAGCATGATTTTCATCTTTTATTTCAAGCGATGCATGCATAATAAAAGAAGCAGAATCAAAGTGAGTTAAATTTTTTTTTTCAAGTACAAGAAATCGGAATACTTTCCCACTGCTAATAAGGGCTAACGAGGCACAGAAAAGGATAATGAGGGAGTTATATTTGACGTAAAAGCGGATGATGTCTAAACCGATACGAATCACTTATCATGCATGTCTCTCTGTGCTACTCGATCAATAAATAACTTGTCACTTGGTGAGTTTTCCAATGGACGGTGCTTTAAAACCAAAACAGTTTTGGCACGAAGAGACCAACGACCTCAAGAGTACTTTTAAAGCTCTGAAAAATGTATTCTGAGCGGCCTTATAATTTCATTATCTGTAACGTAACGAGTTTCAAAATGACTGACTCGTTAACGTTTTGGCGTTAAGTACAGTTGTTCATTTCCCCCTGTACATTTTGTGCATTCCTATTTTGCTGCAATATATTCTACAAAACTAAAACATTCCTTCAACGTCTTTCATTCTTTCACCAAAACTAAAACAGTAGCCACATGCAGTCACAGACTCCCTTATATCATGATTTGCGTTCTCTGATCTTAAAGCTTGAGCTGTAAAATCGCAAGGACCGTGTTAATTCACCACGACGTGCAAAAGTTACTTATTATAGATATCCTGTGGTATAAAATCCTTTAGCATTCACAAACTCGACTCTGCTGGGCGTGTCGTTTACCGTACGAGTCCGCAAAATTATCCTTCTCTGAAATCTTTGGGACTTTCTGGTACCGCCATCACAAAAAAAAAAACAAATCATGATCACTGTATGTTGTCCGCCCGAGCCTCGGACTACTTATACAATGCCCTCTCTTTAAACAAAGGACCCGAGAGCATTATTTTCATCTTTTATTTCAAGTGATGTATACATAATAAAAGAAGCAGAATCAAAGTCAGCTAAATTGTATTTTTTTCAAGTACAAGATATCGGAATACTTTCCCACGGTTAATAAGGGCTAACAAGGCGTAGAAAAGATTAATAAGAAAGTTATATTTGACCTAAAAGTAGATGATGCCTAAACCGATACGAATCACTTATCAGGCATGTCCTTCTGTGCCACTCGATCGCTAAATAACTTACTGTCACTTACTGAGTTTTCCAATGGACGATGCTCAAAAACCAAAACAGTTTTGGCACGGAGAGCCCAACGACCTCAAGAGTACTTTTAAAGCTTTGAAAAATGTATTCTGAGCGGCCTTATAATTTCATTATCTGTTCTATATTCGTTTCCTAGGGCAACTTTAATTGTTAAACCTTTTCGAATTTATTAGGGCTTTCCTTATCATTTTCTCGAGAATCTTAGACACTTTTAATTGTAATAGCTATGTTGTGTACAGCTCCAGGCTCAGGGCGACCTGGGTGTGCAGCTCTGTACAGCCCCCTCCCCACCCCCCAATCCTTTCAACAAAATCAGATACAGGCCGTGGCCGTGGGTTGGTTGTACACAGGCCATCCTCTAAATACAATTGCGTGGGAGGCGAATTAAAGTTTGGCATTCAAAAGTACTATTATAAATAAGTAAATAATGATTTGGAGGTAGCTCATCCACAAAGTGGTTTTTCGTCTACTGATTCCTGTTCGAATTGGAATTTGCCATCCCTTGCTCCCCAAGTAAAAACTTAGTAAAACTAGAGAAAACGGTAAAAAGCCACAAATCAAACCACAACGTTCTGTTCATAACTTGGCCTTTTTTGAAAAAAGACAGGGAAGGCCTGTATTTTTTTTTTGTACTTTACATCGCAGAGGAAGGTTTTTGTGTAAATTGCTCTTCTTCAGTAGACCCCTTCATTGCTGTAATTGAGCTTGTTCCTCCATTGATTGCCAAAGAAACACGGTCAAAGTAGCCAGTTCCCACCTCTCTTTGATGTCTGTGAGCAGTGAAGCCATTTTTAGCTTCCTCAAACTCATCTTCTTGGATCTTAGTGTAGGCAGCCATGCCATTGTCCCTATAGTCACGTGCAAGCTTGAACATGGCATGGTTTAACGAGTGAAAGCCAGCTAGAGTGACAAACTGAAATCGATAACCCAGTTTTCCTATTTCTTCTTGAAAAACAGCAATCTCAGCATCGCTTAGATTTGCTTTCCAGTTGAATGAGGGAGAGCAGTTGTAGGCCAGAATTTTACCAGGGTAGCGAGCATGGATGGCTTCAGCAAATCTGCGAGCTTCTTCTAAGTTCGGCTTTTTTGTTTCACACCACAACACATCACAGTACGGCGCATAGGCAATGGCACGAGCAATGGCTTGATCAAACCCTGCCTTAGCACAAAAGAAACCTTCAGGAGTTCTCTCCCCTGTCAGGAATGGTCGGTCATAAGGGTCTATATCGGATGTCACAAGAGCCGCAGCGTAAGCATCTGTGCGTCCTACAATAACTATTGGAATGTCCAAAACATCACCAGCCAGTCTTGCGGCATTAAGGACCTTAATGAACTGTTGAGTCGGAACCAGAACCTTTCCACCCATGTGACTACACTTCTTTTCTGAAGCCAGTTGGTCTTCAAAGTGAACTGCTGAAGCTCCTGCAGCAATCTGTTGAAAAATGAAAAAATCCTGAAAACATAATCAAAACACAACTTTGAATTTAAAGCGAGACATGTTTCGATCGATCTACGATCATCTTCAGTTGCAAGTAATACAGTTACTGTGATTTGAAATAACAATATATAGTGGTGCACATGATAAAATTGTGCTGATTGACTGACTGGTCTCTGCCGGCTCGGGTTAGGAGATGGAAACGGATGACATTTCAGACCAATTGCAGCGCGGAATGAATCTTAAGTAAAAACCTTGCCATTACCATAGACTTCGTTATTTCAAATGCATTCAGTGGCCCACCAAATCCAGCTTCGCAATCAGCAACAATAGGCAAAAAGTAGTCAATGTGACTCTCTGTTCCTTCCATGTGTGCAATCTGGTCAGCTCTGATAAAAGCATTATTAATGGCTTCCTCCAGTCTCGGGGCTGAATTAACAGGATACAAGCCAAGGTCGGGATAGGTCTGAGCAGCTAAATTGTAATCAGCAGAAACTTGCCAGCCACTAAGGTATATAGCTTTTAGGCCTGCTTTAGCCATCTGCACTGCCTGGCCGCCTGAAATCACAATTTTGTTTATTTCGGTATTACTGAAAACTAAGCAGGACAAAAAATGAATACATAAATTGGACTGGCTATCACTTCCTGTTTACTTTAGCTATGTCATTTTCCCCTCCTGTTTGAAACGTGTCCAGAAATTTTACATTACCGGTACCCGAAATGTATCGTAACTGGCTGCCGGGCTATAGGTCCTATAGAAAAAATAATACAGTATCTACGATCTAAAGAGGAGTCTTGCTTGAAAATACGTAAGAAACAAATTAAGTTACATGCACTATGCACTGATCATAGGCGCGTTTAACGATCGAGTAATGTTTTATTGCCAACCTTCATATTCATCATAGTTAAGGCAAAGGGAAACACAGCAAGCCCTGATGAGCTTTTTTAAGGTTCCCCAATGATTTCTTTACATTGTTGAAAAAGAGGTGGCATAATGAGTATCAAGTATTTTTCGCTGATTGTACATGTCTATGTAATACTTTCTTAAATGCGTTGCTTGATTTTAATTCCTTCAAATCATTTGGTAAACTATTCCATATTATTGCTCCTCTATACTGAAGGGAAAATTTTCCATAATTTGTTCTTTTAAAATCAATGTGTAGTTTTGAAACTGACCTAGTATTATAGGAGTGTATACTAAGTATCATTTATTATGAAGTAGTCATTAAAAGTTTCAGGAAGTTTGCCTTAATTTATGAAGTTTGCAATAAGGTATAGATATATTTCATATATATTCATTATTATTAATATCTTGAACAAAGGCTGAGAATTTTCTCGAAAACTTGAAAAAGTCATGAGTCTTATTAATTTCTTTTGTGCTATATAAATAGATCTTAGCCTAGTTGGATATATGTGCTTGCCCAGTTGATGTTATAATAGGTCAGGTATGGATGAACCATGGTATTTTATAATTCCTTTAAATTTTTATGCTCTAAATAATATCTTGCTTTTGCTATTATCCCTGCTGTTTTTGATACCTTCATTGAAAGATATGATTGATACGAAATTTCCAACACAATTTTTCATCTAGGCATACTCCGAAGAATTTTTTGTGATCAACTTGTTTTCTATTTTGGTCTGCAATATTTACAGTTATTTTATGTTGAACGTTTTATTTTTGCTTTTAAAGATCATAAAATTAGTTTTTCCAACATTTAATGATAATTTGTTTGCTGCTAGCCACAATGTAACCTTCTCTAATTCTTTATTGATGGTATTGTTGAGAGTTTTTAAATCTGATGGCTTGAAAACAGATTTGTATCATCAGTAAATAAAATAAAGGATAATATCTCAGAGCCTTTACATATATCGACATATATTAAAAACAAGAGCGGTCCTAGAACAGAGCCTTGTGGCACACCACACTTAATTGTTAAGTAATCTGAACTGGTTAATTTGAATTTAACAATTTGTTTCCTTCCTGGTAAGTAGTTTCTAAACCAGTCTAGGGCTTTTCCTCTAAATCCATAATACTCTAGCTTATATAGCAGTGTATTGTGATCTACTGTGTCAAATATGCCTTGGAGAGATCTGGGAAAAGCCCCATTGTATATTCACTGTTGTCCACGGCCTTAGATATCTTTGAAACAAGCTCAAGAATTGCAAAATTTTGTTGAACGTCTAAATCAACAAAACTCAGAAATCCAGGCATTGTTTGGGATACACGACAGCCTTTATTAATCATAACAACTGATACAATCCATGGCAAATAACTAGAAGGTAATATCCAGTATACAAATAAAGTACTCCAACAAATAAGAAAGACCAAACTAAAAAAAAATTAAAACAACCTCAATCGAATAATAAAAGTGATCACACTGTCCATGAATAGAACAAAACAAAACCCTAAAGGAAGGGAGGGAGGGAAATGATTGCTAGTGCAATAAAAGTGAATGTTGCTACTGCGGTGCCAAGTGAAAATGTGACTAAACTAGAACTGTACCGGTCTGTAACCCACATGTACAGTCGTGGTATTCCTGTCTATCGTGAAACTACTATATCCTAGCTAGGTACTAGACACATGGTATTATGAAATCTCTCGTGCCAAAAACCTACTGTGATGTTGTACTAGTCCTGCATCCCAATGTGACACCTTTCTTTGAGATTTAGAACCGCATCAGTCGTCTCAACTGATGCATCCCTTTTTTCCTGAATCTGTTTTGACTGTCTGTTAAGATTTTATGCTTATTTAGAAAATTTTGTCTGTACAACCCTTGGACTGAGGTTTTTTGCAATAACAAGCATTGCGTTTGAAAAATAAGTGGAAATTGTAAGCACGTTTGTACGTTTTGTGTTTGCATGTCAAGATATGTTAATTACTTCTAGTCTCCTTCGAAGCCGTTTTTAGGCTTCGCGTGACGAGCCTAAAATCGGCTGCGAAGGAGACTAATTTACTTCTGGATCCGTGCTCACTGTAAATCACTGTGTCACGGCAGTCCAGTTCATTTTGTTTAATTTTGTCAATTACTCACCCTCAATCGCTATGGAACTTAAAGTAAGCAAAGAAAATTACATGTAAATAACAAAATCAGAGATCGAGATAAACAAATATGTCTCCTTAGCATTATTTTTGAGGTTGCAAGCAGCAGGGATCAACTTTGAAAAACCGTTAGGCTAAACAGTTTTCAAAAACCCTAATTTCAATCCGTTTCAGTCTTCTTCAGTTTTGCCCATCCGTGGCATCTGTTGTTTCTGTCATGTTATTTCAAACTTCTTTTAAAGTTTTAAGCGCGGTTATTTTTATGGTTCTCTTAATTTAACGGGCATTTTGTAATTTCCTAATTTGGCTGAATTTCGGGACACAGCTCCTTTAAATTTGTCGCAATCCGCCTTACCGGTAAGCGCTCCCAAAGCTTTGATGTACGAGTCTCCTCCACGAGTCAAGTAGTCCCAAAGTTTTTTCGAACCTCGCCTCGCCAGAGTGTACTCGATTTTCAGCGAACCTCTCAGCTTCTCTACATCTTCTTGGCTATAATTCCTCTTGATTCCTTCGAATCGCTGTTGTTTGAAAAACATTTTGGATAAGAATTGAATAGGAGGATGAGAAACTGTGAAAAAGTGTTAAAACCGTTTTGTACTGCGAGAACGCTGTTAACGGTCGTTACGCTTCTAAGAGTTTTGTCCTCTCACACTGCACATGATATAGCCAATCATTCATGCAAATTTAGAGTACTTTTGAACCCTCTTTTTTGTCTCCATTCCTTGATAATAGCGTCATGATGCCGCCGAAACGTAGCAGTGGCGGATCCAGACCTTCAGATAAGGGGGGGCCCGGTCATCCAGACCCTGAGATAAGAAGTGGGGGCCGGCCTCAAAAAAATCTTTTTTCGGCCCTTTGGGCCTCATTTTGGTCTAAAAATAAAGGGGGGTGGGCTCCCCGGGCCCCTCCCCTGGATCCGCCACTGCGTAGGAACACTATCTCGTTGTTTTTTACGTGTTTATATTTCTCAAAACCATTAATTAGATTTTGGTTCGACGCTCGAGACGAAGCTCTTCAATCCGCCCATGTACGCCACTCGGTTTCAAATAGGTGCAGATCGCCCCCTTGATCTTTCTTAGGACAACCCTGATATAAAAAAAGCTTTTAAAACGTTTTTCTTTGCGCTGGTACAGGAATTTTTACCAGCACAAGGCGAGGCGCCTTTTTTTGTGAAGAAATTTGGAGTGTAAAAGCATCGGTTTGAAGAATTTCGGCATGTGCATGTTTGTGTAAATTTTCCGCACGCTTACGGTAGTCCAGGGGCACCCAACGGGAATATAGTTCAAAATCACTTAAACATAGCATTGTTAAACGTATTTTAGTATTCAAACGGTAGATATAGGCATATTTGTATCCCCTAAAAATTTTCCATCTGTTCGGACTTCCTAGCTGAAAGCATGATGACCCGCAAGCCTTGGATACGTGTACGACGGTCATCTGAATTGACCGATTGCGCAATATAAAACAAAGGAAGTGTTGACAACATAGTGCAGGACCGAAGGTCGGAAACCATGAAAAACCCCTGGAACTTATTACTCGCACGTCAAGTTGCTAATTCATTTGACATTTTATTCCGACAGGAGCAATTAACGCAATCAAAATATGCTTTTGTCCCCAAACGATAACCGGAACCTCCGTAAATACATCTTCGATTCTTTTTAAAAATTTTCAAAGAGAGCAACTTCAGAACACCCGGCCACTTTACTTAAATTTATTTACATTGTGCGGGCCGCGCCGAAACGTTTCTTTGCAACTACCACGTAAAACCAAAGTTTCCAGGTGATTAAAAGCAAAAGGACGCGCGCGAGGAGAACGCGACACCACAAAAATATTGTTTTCGAAATGTAACCGCATTAGCAGAGATTCTCCGCTAACGGATCGCAAAAGCATTGTTCTAAATAAATATCAAAAAGAAAAAGAAAAGCCTTCTTCCGAATAAACGGTTACTTACTGTGCTTTCCATTTTCTAGGACGTACTAAAAGTGCCGGAAATGGGAATTTTGCCACGCGTGTTTTATTTGTAACGAGAAAACAAATCTTTTACTAATAAATGCCGAAAAATATAACTGGCGGAGGGTCTCCTACAAGAAAATCTCCTATTAAAAAACACTCTAAGACACACATATAGCTTTTGTAGCTTGTAAACCACTTAATTTTCCAGTTATTGCGCAAGTGATTTCATAATACCTTGGTGTCTAACTCACAGAATCACGGGCGCGCCACCTAGTGTTTCTGTTGCTTTAAAAATCGAACTTAGGAGTTTAGAACACCATGGCATTACAATAAAACTCGCTTACTCAAGCTAAAACATATTAAACTTTAAATTTCTACTTGGTACGCAAGTGATTTCATAATGCCGAGGTGTCTAAACTCACAGAATCACGGGCGTGCCACCTAGTGTTTCTGTTGCTTTAAAAATCGAACTTAGGAGTTTAGAACACCATGGCATTACAATAAAACTCGCTTACTCAAGCTAAA